TGGTGGGCTTTCTGGGAAGGGATAATTGATGGGGGAGGTCCTTCTGTGTATGTGTTTCTCTTATTGGTTGAGGAATAAACACTGATTGTCCAGTAGCCAGGCAGGATATAGGTGGGGCTGCTAGATGAGGAGAATTTGGGGAAAGGAAGGCAGAGAGAAGCAGAGAGAGAGAGAGAGACTGTGCTGCCGAAGGAGTAACATGCTGGATTACAGGTAAGCCACAGCCTCATGACAATACATAGTTTACTAGAAATGGGTTAATAATTAAGAGAGAACTAGCCAGTAAAAAGCTTAAGCCATTGGCCAAACAGTTTATATTTATGTCTCTGTGTGTTTATTTGGGGCTAAATGGCTATGGGGCCAGGTAGAACAGAAACTCCATCTTCAGATAAGTATTTCTCCCATCTTTTCAGGGTGGCTTAATGTGACCCACTTCTCTGAGGGGTGGTCCCTTGGCCAGGTAATTGAATGGCCCAAATGGACTTACTTTCAAGGGAAGAGACAATGAATGGCATGTCTCCACCCAGAGGTAGATTCCATTCTCTACTGTAACATATCTATAGTACACATACCTTAAATTAAAAAAAAAAAAACATAAAGAGCTGGAAAGAAAAGAAAGGAGAAAATACACAGCATAAATAATACCCAAAAGGGAAATGGACTAACTATATTGAGACAAAATAATAGACTTCATGAAATTGTTACTACAGATAATAACATTTTATAATACAGCACCTGCTACATAACATACCTAACAAGAGGGCCCCTGATTACATGATTGACAGAATTAAGGCAAAGAGGCAATTCAATAGTAACAGAGACTTCAATGTTGCACTCTCAACAATGAGAGTACAGCTGGGCAGGAGACCGGAGTAGGAGAAGTCTTGAATGTCACTATAGCCCAACAGCACCCAGAACCCGTCAGCAAGAGCATAATACGTCTTTTTCTCAAGTCCGTTCTCTAGAATATAACATATCCTGAGCCACAGAACAAGCCATAACGAGTTAAAAGAATCCACACGCAGTCTTTTCTGACCACAATAAAATAGAATTAAAATAAATAAATGAAGGAAGTTTGGGAATTCACAAACATGTAGAAATGGAAGAATATACTCTTTTATAAACAATGAGCAGAATTTTAAAGATCACAAAGGGATTAAGAAAATATTTGGAGATGAGCTTCAGCAAATGCATAACATGGAAAAATGTATGGGACGTAGCTAACACAGGGGTGAGGGGTGGAAGGAGGGGGCAGGGAAGATGGCTGATGTAAGTAAAATGCTTGCCATGCAAGCGTGAGGACCTGAGCCAGATCCCCAGAAGGCATATACAAGCCAGGTTTGGTGGCACACACTTTTAAGCCCTTTGCTGGCAGAGCCTGGCAGATCTCTAGGGCTTACTGGTCAGTCAGATGAGCCAACTTAGCTAGAACCTGACCCTAGAGGGAGACTGAGTCCAGACTGGTCTACAGGGCAAGTTCCAGGACAGCCAGGGCTAAATAGAGAAACTCTCTCTCTCTCTCTCTCTCTCTCTCTCTCTCTCTCTCTCTTCCATTGATTGGCACTCACAAGTCCCTCCTACAGAACTCTTTAAAGTTCTCTATGGTGGCTGTATGTTTGCTTATGTTGTGCAAATCAAGTATTTGATTTAGTTACAGGAAAAATAATAAAGGAACAAAATATGGATGCCTAGTTCTACTGCCAAACAATTTTCAAGAGAGTTTCCAAAATACTTGAAGACGTAAGGGCTGCAAAGAAAAACATGAAATCATCATTTTAAGTAGAGGAGGTTTGTGTGTGTGTGTGTGTGTGTGTGTGTGTGTGTGTGTGTGTGTGGGGGGTGTGTGTGTGTGTGTGGGGGGGGTGTGTGTTTGTCATGTGTGGGTGGTGTATGTATATGTGTGTGGTGTGTCTGTGTGTTGTTTATGTGCATGTGTGTATGTGTATGTCTGTGCATGTGTGTATGTGTGGTGTGTGTGTGTGTGTGTGTGTGTGTGTGTGTGTGTGTGTGTGTGTCATGAGCCTGCATATATGTGTGTGGGGGTGTGTAATCCCAAGAAGGGGATAACACCACTCTGCCTTGTTTAATGGCCTTTAGTGGGACTGGAGGGAGACTTGGGTAGTCTTTATTGAGACTGGTCACTCTTTGAACACAACAAGGGCTGAACCAATGAGTACGTCTTGGCTACTGTTCTGTTGCTATGAGAGACACCTTAGAGTGAAAGCATTTCATGAGGGCCTTGCTTACAGCTTTCAAGAGCCAGTCCATGAGCATCATGGTGTGATGTGTGACAGTAGGCAGGCAGGCATGGCTCTGGAGCAGTAGCTGAGAGCTACATCTTATCTCCAAGTTAAAGACTGGTAGAGAGGGGGGCAGAGGATGTCAGAGGCCATGAGAGATACAGCAGGTGTTAACCAGTGTTAACTCTTAACAGCCTGCCTTTTTCTCTTACTCAAACTACTGCACACAGTTAGCTCACTTACACCTCAGAGCAAGTTCAAGCTAGACTAAAGGCTTTTTGAAAAAAGAACACTTGACAGCTTTCACAAGGTCAGAGTCATAGATGTCTACCAAGGTTACTAAGAAAAGCATGCCAATTCTTCACTTGTCAGCCTACTAACAATAAATCTATGTCCTAAAGTTGTCTTTGGGCATTGTGCCCGCCTCTGTCTGGTCATGGTTTTGCTCCTATGTCCTCTTGTGTTGTCATGATAAACGGCTCAGCTCCTTATCGCTTCCTCTAGAATGTGCTTTTGACCAACTAGAAAAACTTCCTCATCTCTTCACCACTCCTGAAGGAGAAGAGTTTCTAGAATAAAAGAAGCTGGAAGAAGAAGCATGGAGAAGTTAGAAGTAGACAGGGTTATTACAGTAGAAACAGAACAGTAAAGAGCACATGAAATAAAGAGCACGGCCCTCAGACTGTCTGTGAAGTTACTATAGAAATCTTTTACTTTTACCTCTTCCTTCCTTCCTGAGAAGCATTTCACATTTGGGACCCTGGGTAAGGGATGGAACAGGTGTCATAGTCCTTACAGTAGAGAGTGGGGGAGAGAGGGAGAAACGGAGGGAGGGAGGGAGAGAGAGAGAGAGAGAGAGAGAGAGAGAGAGAGAGAGAGAGAGAGAGAGAGGCTGGACCTGGTGCAGGCCTTTGAAACCCCAAAGCTCACTGCCAGTGACACACCTCCTCCAACAAGGCCACATTTCACAATCCTTCATAAACTGTCCACCAGCTGAAAACCAAACATTCAAGCATATGTATCTATAGGTACCATTCTTTTCAAATAGCCACATTAACCCCCCACCAATAGGAAAGCAATCATGCAATGTTCATCCAGACAGGGAAGTGGTTATGAGTTGGGTCAGCTTTATCCACTCTCTCTCTTAATTCATTGTACTTGTTTCTCTGGCTATTGATGGAGTCACATTTGTTTCCTGTTCTTGGCTGCATGGCTATTTATGACTCACCGTGAATCCTTACCTTGCTTCCTCTGGGTAGCTGATTCCCATGTCAGTTGTGCATGGCATAGGAAGCACATCAGGGAGCAAAACCCAGAAAGAGACCATGGTCTCACCACAGCTTTGGAGGGTACACCCCCATTGACTAAATATTCCCACAAGGCCTTGCCTCTTAAAGGTCCTGCAGCCTCCTTAGCATCCACACTTTGGATGAGACTTAAGATTGAAGCTATAATTTACCTTGTGCCAACATGAAACAGGTCCTGCTCCAAATAGAACGAGAGTCAGTTCATTCTGCAGCCACGTCCCAGATATGTGAAGTCACAACACACCAAATAAGAAGCTGTGTGAACTTCAAAATCTCAGAACAAAAGTCACTAGCAGATTAATGAGATGCATACCGGCATACCGGCAGGGACTTCAGGTGGGTTGGTCACAGTACCGTAGGGATATCTCTGCTCTAAGTCTCAGAGGCTGTCTGATGACATTTTTAGCATGGGGGCTATGAAAGCTAGTGGTCCACTAGTTACTAAGTAATACATTCCAAAGATGTTACGTGATAGTCAAAAGGATATTGAATCAAACACAGAGACTGGTGACAAATGACTATTAGAACTAAAGCTAGGCCAAGATAACTTGGCTCGTGGTCTGCAATCTTCCAGTTCTCCACAATCTTGAGGTTTCAATCAGTCAATTGGTCTGCGGAATCTTTAACCTAGATACAGTTTTATTTTAGGAGATCTTGTTTCATGTCTCCATAGTCAAAATCACAGAGGAAAAATGGCATAGAAGTTACCAGGGGATATGGATGTGGGAATAGGACTTAGTTCTTAATGAGGTCAGAGTTTGAACCAGACAAGATGAGAAGGATGGATGGCAGCAGCCTCCAGAGTGTGAGCATATTGACTGCCATTGCTACTTAAAGTGATAGCATGGTAAATCTAATATTATTTATGCATACGATGCAAATGGGTGTTTTATGACGGGAAGTTATATCTCTTTCAGGCATTTGCTTTATCATTAAATATTAATGTCGACAAAGGAAAATATATAATGTCATTAATCTATTATGAACTGTTTTCACAGTTCATCTTTCAGTGATGATTTTTTTTAATCCTTTATTCATTGTCTCAGCGCCAAGATCTTTTAGAAGATTTAACACAGTGCACATGGACTTAGGGAGTGGCTTTTCTAGTTCTTCGTTAAAAACTTGGGGGTCAAGAAGAAGCTGTCATGATCTGTAGGGTGGGGGCAGACGGCTATGAGCAACAGCAGGGTGCATATATGCTCTGAGGGCAGCAGGAATATCTAAAACCAGCACAGGACAAGCGAGCGCACTTGCAACTCATGTTTTGCTTCTTTGAGACAGGGTCTCACTACGTAGCTCTGGCTGTTCTGGAGCTCTCGATATAGACTAGGCTGGTCTTGAACTCACAGAGATCCATCTGCCTTTACCTCCTGAGTGTTGGGATTAAAGATGTATGTTACCATGCCCAGCATAATTTTTTTAATAAATTATTTATTTTTAGCTATGTGTATGTGTGTGTGCTTTCTTGTCTGTGTGTGCACTACATGTATGCAAATGCCCACAGAAGCCAGATGAAGGCATCAGATTCCCTTGAACTGTAGGTACAGTGAAGTTACCAACCACCTGCTGAGGGTCCTGGGAACTAAATCTGAATCCTTTGTTAGAACAGCAAGTGCTAGTAACTGTTGTGCCGTCTTTCAGTTGTCACGGTGTGTGTGTACCTGTGTTATGTGTATAACATGGAGGCTGGAGATCATCTTCCATTGATGTTATACACCTCAGGATCCGTCCACCTTTTTTTGTTAGGACCTTGCATCCTGTCACCTTCCTTACCTTCCCCTGATCTCCCGTCTTCTTCCTTCCCTTGCCCTCTCCTGTTTCTACTCTCCCTCTTTTTTTGGGGGGGGTTCCTACGCACCCATGCTTGTGATCAGACCCAGGAACTGTCACTTGTGAGGAGATGAGTACTCTGTCACTAAGTTACAATAGCAATCACCCCAGTCCCAGGGTCTGTTTCATTTTGAGACAGCATTTCTCATGATCCTGACTCAGCACCGTTAGGTTACTATTACAAGTATGTGCCAATAGGCCTGCTATAAATTCCGCTGAAGCAGATTTACCTCCCTTCCTCTTTGAGGATGTTGTCTTCCACACTTTACCACTTTCATGGCACAGTGTTCTCCTGGGGACTTTCTATGGATCTGAGGCTCCAGACTGGTGAGGAAGAAGAGCAGGAGGGACACTCCTCTCATTGACATCTTGACATGTGGTGAGATGTTGTATTTGTCTTTAAGAAGCCCCCTGTTCTGTAGAAAGTCAGCTTCCCTCTCTCTGTCTCCATCTCTGTCTCTGTCTCTGTCTCTGTCTCTCTGTCTGTCTCCATCTCCGTCTCTCTCTCTCTCTTTCTCTCTCTCTCTCTCTCTCTCTCTCTCTCTCTCTCTCACACACACACACACACACACACACACACACACACACTAGCTCTCTCTCTGTCTCCATACTATCCAGCAAGTACCCATACAGGGTGTAGAAAGTGACGGGGTAGTGACAGGAAGAGTGGGGGTAGCTCCAGGAGACAGTCTTGGTCACTGGAACCAGGGAGAGCCAGGGGTTCCACAGCGTTGGAGCCTGAGGGGTATGTGGGTACTGCAGTGGGAACTGCAGGCCTGGCTCAGGAGAGGAGAGAATGGTCCTGGATTTGATCTGTTTACATGACAAAGATTCCTAGCTTTGTTTTTTTCCCATGGTAGCCGCTCAGAGCTTGGCAGAGGCGTAGAAGAGGGGAATCTGTGGGAGTCTGAATTTCGAGACTATGCATGGCCAAGCAAGTGGTAGACCTAAGAGAGGAGATGGTTGCCATGATGCCCTGGATAGAACTTGCTGACTGGAGGTGAGGGCCAGAGAGGGCCAGCCAGGAGCACTTCATCCCAATAGTGCCCCTCATAAAAAAGTCAAGGAACAATAGTTTTCACAATAGATCAAGGAAAAAGAAGTCTAAATGATTTAGGTTTCTGGCGGTGACAATTCCATTGCTTTTCATTAAATATTCCAAACAAATTATTTAAAATGCTTTCACCAGATCTCTTGTTTTTATGCTGTCTTTGTTCCCTGAGCTCATGCTGAGGATGACTGTTGTTACAGATCCATCAGCATGTGTTGTCAGAGAGCTGCAAGCTAAAACAGTAAGAGACACTACCCATGGGAGCACTAGATGCCAGACCGCTCCCCTCCAAATGCAGCAAGGCGCCATGGGAGAGTCTGCCACCAATGCTGGGAATGTGACATGGTGCAGTGGCCTGGGAAGTGAGTTTAGAAATGCCTTACGAAACAGCCACCTCATCCCTTGGTAAAAGAACCCAATTCTTTAATTTCTAAGCCTGCTTATTTGATGAAGCAGCTACAGGTAAAATATTTAGGCTTTTCTGATTTTCACATCCTAGGCCCAGAGGATGCTGGAGGGCCAACTCTCACCGGCAGGCAGTCAGGGCTGCAGACTCTTTCAGGCATGTTTCATGGCTGAGCTCAGACCTTGGCAATTTGTCTCATGCCATTGCCAAATGAGAAATGACAATTCTGGGATGTCACTTTTTCTGAAGGTTGCTTGCATAAGCATCTCAACTCCAAGTGGCATGGCACATGTCACCCCTCCCCGCCCCCGTGCATCACTCTTGTGTGAATCTAGTGGGCCTGTGCATCTCGGACAAGTGCTTGCAGGAAGACACCCATTCGCAAAGGTTAGCATGAGGGTGAGTTACACCTCTGTTTTGCTGGAGGGGAATCTGTTGGAGCAGCTGTGTTTGGGGTGAACTGAAGATTGCAGCTGGAAACCACAGTTGGACCTGTTACAGAGGGAAGTCAAGAAAAGGTTACATATTTCCTAAAGTTTAGTCACAGAAGTTTCAGCACAACTGTGGGTGGTTAGAAAACTCCAGAGGCTCATCAACTCAAGCTAAGCCCAAAGAGGAGCACAGTGATTCACTGAGTGAAAGGCATTCTGGTCAAGCTCAGAAAAAAAAAAAAAAATGAAGCTGTCAGCTAAGCAGAATAGCAGCAGCTTCATGGACAGGCTCACTTTGAGTTCCCCAACAAGGAGGAAACAGGCAGGAAGCTCCTGCACTTTCGCAGCTTCCAGGCCTTCAGCAATGGTGCTTGTGTTCGGAGACCAAAGGGCAACCCCTCTTATTCCCAGGAGCTGGCCCAACATTCCTGACAGTCCCAAGACTGGGACTAGCCAGTGTTTTTCGTCCCTCACAAACCTCACCTTGACAAGCTGGGCCCTGTAAGTCTTGAGGACTGGAACTGGAACTCCTAAATTGTTTTCTATCGTAGATGAACCCACGGGATGATAGAACCAATTGCTTAATTTGTAGGATCACTTCTGGCCCTTGAAAATAGAAGCAATGAATGTTCATAGGGAAATACAGTTCACAATCCTGGGGCATGCCACTGGATTGCCTCTGGAATGTCTACAGTCACTTTAATTAATGCCTGTTGGCGGGACACAGAGAAATTGGTGTCCTCGATAAAGTCAATGGAAATGTGAAATGGTGCAACCATTCTGGAAAAATAAATTATCTGTTTCTTAGAAAGTTAAGTCTAAGGAATGGAGAGATTGCTCAGTGGTTAAAAACTCTTGTTGTGTGCTGGGTGTTGGTGGCCTTTAATCCCAGTACTTGGGAGGCAGAGGCAGGCAGATCTCTGTGAGTTTGAGACCAGCCTGGTCTACAGAGTGAGTTCCAGGGCAGCTTCCAAAGCCACAGAGAAACTCTGTCTTGAAAAACCAAAAAAAAACAAAAACAAAAAACAACAACAACAACAACAACAACAACAAAAACAACACTTGTGCAACCGTGAGGACTTAAGCTTGAATCCTGACACCTGCTAATGTGCTGAGCACAGTCTTGAGTGTCTCTATCATCCCGGTGTCATGGAGGAAAGGGACAGGAGAATAGCTGGGGCTTGAGAACTGCCAGCCTGGCCAAAAAAAAACTTGAGTTCCAGGTCCAAGGAGAGACCCCCAATTCAAAGGAGTGAGTCGGAGAGTGATAGAAAAGGGGTTAGACATCACCCTCTGACCTGTGCTCAAGCATGGACAAAGCGTGGCCTCAGGCTGTTTTTGTCTAGCTGATAATAGCAACACTGGAAGATACCTAAATGTGCACAGTGGGGGTTAAATAAATCTTTGTCATCCACCTGTCAAAAGATATGGCATAAAAATTGTGGCAGAGTATGTTTCTAGGAAAATATTGCAGGAGAAATCTGACATTTCTTTTTTTTTTTTTTTTTTTCTGTACTCAAAGTTTCCTGAGAAAGTCACACTTGTTCACTGGCCACCCCAGTGTTTGTCCACTCTACAAATGTGAGGTGGAATGTGACAAGCCTGTAAGGATATTACATCTACCAACCACAGGACTGGCCAAGACAGCCTCAGCACAAGAAGCCAGTCAGAGCCAGAGAGACACTACCCTCAAGTTTTGTGTAACTGTTGGGCAAGGCAGGCTGTGTTTGACTTTACTATACTTTTTTAGCTATTTTGTACAACTAGACTATATAACAGGTGTCTTTTGTACTGGTCTCCTTTCTCTCAGCTTTCCCGAGGTTCCTCTGTATTGTAACATATATCAACACCTCATCTCTTTTATGCTCCAGTCGAGTCCATTGTAAGTGCTTAGCTCTTTGTCAGCTCATGAACATCTGAGGGCTTCCACATTTTGGCCAATTGCACATGGTGCTGTTTTGAAAGTTATGTCTTTGTGTGGGTGTGTGCTTTTTGTTCTCCTAGATTCTGGAATTGTTAGGTTTTATCGTGAAATTATATTTAAGTTGTATGCACATCTATATGTGCTTGAGGGGGGTATATGTGCATGTGTGTGGTATATGTGTGTGAGAGAGAGTTGTATATGTACACTTGTGTGTGATGGGGGTATATGTGCATGTGTGTGTGTGTGTGTGAGAGTTGTATATGTGCACTTGTGTGTGATGGGGGTATATGTGCAAGTGTATGGTATATGTGTGTGTGAGAGAGAGTTGTATATGTGCACATGTGTGTGAGGGGTATATGTGCATGTGTGTGTCTGTGTGAGGGGTTGTAGGCACACACGTGTGTGTGAGGGGGGACTGTATATGTGCTCATTTGTGAGAGGGGACTATATGTGTATCCATGTGTGTGGGCTGTATATGTACTATCTCACTAGGGACCCAAAGCAGCAGCCAGTGGCCACAGATTGAAACCTCTGACACTGGTGGTCAATTAATCATTCTGTGATGTGTTGACTTGAAGTCCTTCGGGTACATGCCCGGGACAGACAAAGTTGGATCATATGGTAGATCTAGTTTTCGCTTTTTGAGAAACCTCCATACTGTCTTCCACAGTGGGTAGAATAGCTGGCATTCCAAACACAGTGTATGAGAGTTCCTCCTTTGCGTTGATTTACTTCCATATCGTTGCCATACTGACTAAAAGTGGATTGTCCATATATATCTGGAGAGAGAGAGAGAGAGAGAGAGAGAGAGAGAGAGAGAGAGAGAGAGAGAGAGAGAGAGAGAGAGAGAGAGAGAGAGAGAGAGAGAGAGAGAGGAGAGAGAGAGGGAGGAAGGGAGAGAGAGTGCATTGAACTGAGCAGTGAGTAAATGGGCTATTAGCAGTGTCCTTTCCACTGACAATCATACAGAGAACAGAGGAGGCCTTCACCCAGTGTGGGTGATATTACTCCCTCAGTCTGTGCCGGTCTCCAGTGGCAATGAACAAGCTAATGAACACAATGAAATAAAACACCTTGTAGTCGAAAGTGAGAGTTCTTGTTGTCAAGAACTTTTTAGGAGTGTTTGTAACTTCATAGAATTTAGCAGAACGAGAATCAGTAACCTCAGGTGCCTAAAAAATTGCAGAATTACACTCTCTTCCAGTAATGGCCTACATGCAACATAGTCATATCCTGCCCTGAGTGACAAGCTCAGCTGTCAAGGGACAAGTTCAGAACCCAGAGGATATGTTCAAACATATTCCTCACCCTGCAATGCGTCTGTACTGTTCAACTTAGCCTCCAAAAGTCAGATAGAAATATTTATGTGTTAGAAGCACTTTCTTGAGAAAAATTCTACAGGGTGTTCAAGGCTTTCTGATCTTCTGGAGGAAATGCTAGTCCCATATGCCACTCTTCCAGGCATCAGGCATGTAAGGGTGAATTTTGCATTGGGTACCACATTGAGGACTATAGAATAGAGTAAGATACAGCCCCACTACTGAGGGTCTCCAGGTCAGTGGCCACGCAGTGTCAAGGCTATTCCAGAGATAAAGAACACCTCAGTATCAGGGAGCCCTTAGTATGTCTTGTGTATGAGGTATACCTCCGAGGGCTCATGTCTTGAAGGCTTGGTCCCTAGCTGATATCTCTAATCACTGAGAAGTGGTTAGGTGATGGGAAGATCCATGGATTAATCCATTGATTGACTGATGTTTTGATGGAGGTATTAGAAGGTGACAAAGTAGGATGTAGGGACTGACTGGAGGAGGTAGCTCACTGGGGATTAATCTTAGCCCCTCCCTTTCCCATCTGGCTTTTGTTATTGGCTGCCATGTGCTTTTTAGCAATCATTTGCTACTGTAATAGTCTGCCTCCTGGAGTCATAGAGCCGAATTATTGTGGACTGAAGTCTCAAACCACAGACTGAAAAAAATCCTTCCTTCTTTCAATTGGTTTTTCTCTAGTATTCGTCACAGTGATGAAACTAACAAAATTATAGAGACTCAGGTGTGGGCCATGAACACTGAACTCTAGAATCTGGGGTGTCTTGGGGTACTTCTTGTCTGCTACTTCTTGTCTACTTTTGGCTCATTCATGATACAGAACTAAATTTACGTTGCCTTCAAGGCAAAGGAGAACAACTTCATGAAGATCTGCTTAAAGGATTTTTGCTGCTGTGATGGGAAGAATCACTGTTCCATTTCTCAATATTATAACTCCAGTGTTTACTCTGTATAAGGGAGTGGGGGAAAGTAGCTTGGATTTCATAGTTTAAAACTTTAGAACTTGTTTAAATCAAATTGATAGCCCCCCATCATACTGCCTATACTGTACACTTTTTTATGTTCCATAGACCTCCATCACCAGTCTTCATCAGAACTACTAGTCATTTTGGATTATAGAGAATCTTTGCCCCCAGGAAAAGGGCACAGTGAACTGAACACTGATGGACTCACCTTTTCTGGCTTTTGCAGTGTAAAGTGCACAGCACTATGGCAGTTCTGTGTAGGGGCCTTCAGTCTATGACTCTAAAGAACACTTGAACTGCTGTGTCCAAACAATGTTAAATGGATCTCTTTATTGTGAAATTACATTTTTTGTTTTGTATACTTCATAAAATGCTGTTTGCTTAGTAATATATTATAAGTCACAAAGTAAAACTTAATCCTAATATTAATTTTATTGTCAACATTTGCTTCCCGTTCTCCATAGGTTTCTCTCTGAGAGAGGTTTTTACTATGTCTTGGACTTGCTATGTAGACCAGGCAGGCCTTGAACTCATAGAGATTTGCCTGTCTCTGCCTCTTAAATTCTGGAATTAAAAGTGTGTTCTGCCATGCAATGCTCCATTCCTCATAGTTTTTATTTCCTAGTTAAAAAAAAAAAAAAAAAAGACTGGGAGAAAAGTCTTCCCTAGGACACAGCACACCAATGGTTATCCAATATGAAATGGTCAGTCCTGAAAACATACATACAAGTAACATTATACA